GTAGGTGCTTTAGACCACTGAGCCATCTCACCAGCCCCTGTAGTTCAGTCTTGAAGTTGCTCTATAGCCCAGACTGGCTCTACTTTGTGGCAGTCCTCCTGCCTCAGCCCCACAGGGTGCCAGGATTACTTACAGGAGTGTACTACACCTGCAACTAGCTTTGTTTTGTTTGAAAAATCCATACATAGCCCAGGCCCCTGCCTCGGGAGGGCTGAGATCCCAGGTGTGGACCACCACGCCCAGGGTTGAAAGTGTCCCGGTGGACAGAGCATGTGGGGCTGCCTGGTCCCGTAGACAGAAGGGGCCAACCCTCCAGGGATTAGTGTGACTGGGGGGCTGGGGGTGAATCATTGTGAAGCTGAGTGTCACTGCCCGCAAGAGACCAGAGAAGGACAAGAGAGGGAAGTGGGCTGAGTCAGCCACGCACAAAGCTGGAGACCCCGGGAAGTTCCATGGCATAGTCCAGCAGGGAGGCTGAGGCAGCTGAGGCACCGGGGCTTGGAATGCCTGGGTGCCAAGTCCGGGTGGCCACGGGGAGACAGTGTTGTGGTCAACACAGGGTTGTGATGAACCTGGTTCTTCTCTGCTGCTCCACCTTGTTTTGTTTTGGTTTGAGTTTTTTTCTTTTTCTTTTTCTTTTTTCTTTCTTTCTTTCTTTCTTTCTTTTTTTTTTTTTTTTTTTGAGGAGCTGGGGATTGAACTCAGGCCCTTGTGCTTGCCAGGGAAGCGCTTATTCCACTAAGTCATCTCCCCGGCCACAAGTATGAGTTTTTCTGTGACAGGGTCTCACTATGGATTTGTTCTTTGGTACTGGGGCTCGAACTCAGGACCTTGTGCTTGCCAGGAAAGTGCCGTGCTGCTGAGCTGTATGTCCAGCCCTAGGTTCTCACCACATAGCCCAGGCTGGCCTCAAACTCTCAGCAATCCTCTTGCCTCACGTTCTACTTCTCATTCTGGTGCCTCAACTAAGCACCAGGAACCAGCAGGAAGGGACTGGATGCTCCTGTCACGGCACCCACCTCCCCACTCACCCGGCCCTGCATGACTTCCCCACACTCCCACCCCTGGGTACACCCTCCACCACCTCTCTGCGTTTTGACATTCTGTTCCCCCATCCCAGGTGTCTTCTGTTTTTATAAAAAATATTTTATTTATTGGATACAGGGTATCACTTCGAAGCTCAGACTCATAGATATCTTCCTGTCTCAGCCTCCCCAGCACTCCAGCGCTGGGATTACAGACCTGCGCCACCACACCTGGTTTTGGGGCTGGCATGGCGTGGTCGGGATTCCAGGGCCAGCACAGCATGTGGTACCAGGGACTGAACTTGGGTCTTTGCACTCTCCAGGCAGGCACTTAGACTGCTGAACTATCTCCCAGTCCTCTGTTTTTATTTTTTTCTTGAGACAGGGTCTTGCTGTGCAGCCTAGGCTGGCCTCGGATCCCTGGAGACTTCCTGCCTCAGCCTCCCAAGTGCTGGGGTTACACGGGTGCACCACCACACCTGGCTTCCCTGCTCTCACCCCATATCCTGGATACTCCGTCTTGGAACGGCAGGAGGGGGCCTCCACTCTCTTCCAAGCCTCCTCTGCACCCCACCCTGAAGCCCACAGGGCTGTGTATGCAGCAGGTGGTTCCATATGACGTGGAGGCCCAGGAGGGTCGAGTTTGGGTGTAGGGAACATGATCTCCATCCATGAGGTCTTGGGTTTGATTTTCAGCTCCATAAAAATATTAAAAATAAAATCTAAAGGGCTGGGGAGATAGCTCAGCGGCATAGGCACCCGCCTGGCAAGCACATGGTCCTAAGTTCAATCCCCAGTACCAGGAAAAAAAAAAAAAAAAAAAAAAAAAAAAAAAAAAAAAAAAAAAACAACCAGTTAATGCTCTTTCAACAAAATAAAAATTAAATTAAAAACTAGGTATGAGCCAGCCAGATAGCTCAGTGGATTAAAGGGCCCAGTCTCTATGGGGGCCTGGGAGATGGCTCAGTAGGATAAGCACTTCCCTGGCAAGCGCAAGGGTCTGAGTTCAATCCCTAGTTCCACCAAAAAAAAAAAAAGAAAAAGAAAAGAAAAAAAAGGGGCCCAGTCTCAGCTCGCCTTGGGGCCGGGTTCGGCAGGGGACCCAGGGATCAGATCTGGTACCTGCATCCGCCTAAGCAGGCTCATTCTGTTTTTGTTATAGGACTTCACCCATGTTCACATCTGGGCTAACCTAAGTCCACAGTCGAGGGCCGGGGTTTGACGCAAACTGTCTGAGCCATTAGCCATGTCCCCTGGCAGGACATCGGTCACGGCTGCCCCATGCTCCCCTGGAGGACAACGCTGCCCACACACTGTCACTGGGCACTGGCTGCGGGTCGCTTGCCAGGAGGGCCATGCTGGATGGAGAAATGGGTGAGCAGGCGGGGTGGGTGGTTTCCAGGAGGCAGCCGCCCTCAGCCCACGCCGCACCTCACTTGCTGCTGGCTCCACTCCCAGGGCCCCGGGTCCACCCGGGGAGCGCTGTGGCCTCTACCAGGCCCTGAACTGAAGAGGCAAGATGTGAGGTTGGCTGGCCCTGAACTCCCAGCGATCCTCGTGCCTCAGCCTCCCTACTACTGGGATGACAGGCGTGTGCCACCACGCCTGGCTCCAAGGGCTTTGAGAACACTGTGACCTTTTGGCTCTCGCAGAAGTGGCCGAGACTGAGCAGCAGCACATTTCCCTACGCAGGCTCTGACCTACTCACCAGACCTGGGGCACCAGGCAAGTGGGGGACGGCAGTGGCCAGGTTCCCCGGGCGGGGGAGGGCAGGGTGCAGGGGTCACCCATGCTAGCCCAGATTGTGGCAGAGATACCCAAATGTTAATCACCACTTAGCCCATTGCAGTGGAGAGGCGTGGCCGTCCTGTGTACAGAGGCCTAATGTGGCGGGAACTCGAGATAAGACTCCACCAGGCTAAGTGGGCGGAAGCCAGGGTATAAAGTGGTAGGGAGGGAGGGGACCAGGAAGAGACCCCAGGCTGTCCTTCTGAAAGAGCAGATCAGTGTGCGGTGAGATAGAGGCTTTGACAGGGTGGGTGCGGCTGTGGGGCAGAGGGCTCTGGGACCTAGAGCCAGTGCGCCCTCAGGAAGGCTGGGTGCTGGCCCACACTGTCCCAGAGCCCTCCATGGTGTGCAGGGCTTTGCTGGAAGGTTCCCCTGTGTTCCCTCTATCTGCTGAAGACCCAGGAGAAGCGCATGGCAGGTTTTATGGGAACAGGGTGTGGTGGCGCAAGTCTGTTACCTCAGTGCTGAGAAGGCTGACGCAGGAATGTCTCTAGAAGTTTAAGGCCAGCCCAGGCTCCATAGTGAGTTCAAGGCCAGCCTGAGCTGCCCAGGGAGGCCTGTCTCAAGAAAAGAAAACAGCAACATAAAGCAGGTCCATGTCCCTTCTGGTGTCACTGCCTCTAGTACCCCCCCCCCTTCCTGAAGGTGCTGCCCTGGCTGTTAAGTCGCCTGTCTCAGGCACCTAGCATGGCCCAGGCTCCAACTGCTGGCTGCCCCTCACCCAGCCCTGTTCTCTCACAGCTCAGGACCCGGGGTGATGGCGGCCGTGAAGACCTGCTCTCTGCTGCTGGTGCTGCTGTTCTTGGCATCAGGGCTGGGAGAAAAGGGAGAGGCTCAGATCAGGTAGGTGTGGAGGAGGCAGGGGCTGGGCCCGGGAGAAGCAGCAGGAGCCAGGTCCAGCGAGGTGGGGAGGTCGGCCAGGCGGAAGAGAACCTTTGTTTTGTTTTGTTTTGTTTTTTCTTGGGGGTTCGGGGGTGAGACAGGGTCTCACTATGTAATGCAGGCCGGCCTTGAACTCACGGAGTTCCTCTTGCCTCATCTCCTGAGTGCTGGGATGACAGGCATTGTTTCTGGATATGAGCTAAAGAGTCGAATGAGGAAGGGCAAGAGGAAGAAAGCAAGGACCTGTGGGGCTTGGTCACTTGGGAGGAGCAGGATTCTGGAGCCCCCTCTGCCCAGAAGCCAGAGCGAGCGCACGCACAGGCGCACGCACAGGCGCACGCACAGGCGCACGCACAGGCGCAGCTGCAGGGTGGACACAGCCGGCGAAGCCCTGGCCCTGCGCGCCCAGGCTGACCTCTGCCTCGCCTCTGAGGCTCCACTGCGCAGCATCCTGACCCCCTCGCCCTCCCGTGTCCCGCAGCCCCCAGCCCCGGCCCAGCAACCCCCGAGGCCCCAGGTACGCGGAGGGGACGTTCATCAGCGATTACAGCATCGCCATGGACAAGATCCGCCAGCAGGACTTCGTGAACTGGCTGCTGGCCCAGAAGGGCAAGAAGAGCGAGTGGGTCCCCTCCAGCCCCGGCATCCCCCTTGCCTCAGCCGGCACCTGCCCAGTGCTAGGCACAGCATCCATGGCAACTTTGCCTGGGAAGGGTGGAGTGGATGCAAGGGCCCTGGAGCCCCATCTACACAGCAGTGCAGTAGGGGGCAGGATAAAGCTGGGGCCTGTCTTTCTTTTTCTTAGAGGGTGGATTGAGACAGGGTCTCCCCATGTAGGCCCAGGCTGGCCTCAAACTTACAGCGATCCTCCTGCCTCAGCCTCCTGAGTGCCGGGATGCCAGGCATGTGGCACCACACCTAGCCAACCAGTTAGATTCTGGAATTTTTTTTTTTTTTCTTCTGGTGGCTCAGGCTGCCTGAATGGCAGGGCTAGCTGGGGATCAAACCACGGTATCCTATTCCTGACTGCCTTTACACGAACAGGCACTTAAACAACTGAGCTAAGAGCAGGACCCCTAGATTCTGGAAAGTGGTCACTTGTGAAGGCTGAATGAGAAAGAGGCATCCTTATTCTGAGGGCCATGGGGACAAAAGACCCAAGTGTTTCCAGACATGACAACATCTCTGCCTCCCCCATGGTCTTCATTTCTCTCCTCCAGCTGGAGACACAATCTTACCCAAAGGGATGCCCATACCCCAGAGCTGCCTGGACCATCGCAGGAGAGGCAGGCGCTGCTGGAGCTTCAGAGGTAAGATGCCCACCCGCCCACAAGAACAGAGAAGAGCTCTGCTGGTCGCCACCTTGCCACACCCCACAGCAGGGTGTGCACGACCACGCCCAGCTAACCTTCGGAGTTTTTCGAGACTGGACCCTTCTGTGGTTCAGGCTGGCCTGGACCTCACTTTCAGCCCAGGCTTGGGTGGAATGCCTGGGATCCTCCCACCTCAGCCTCCCAAATGCTGGAATGACAGGCCTGTGTGACCAGGCCCTGCTCTCCTTTTGGCTCTGGCTGTACTGAAAAGCCCTGGTCCCCAGGATCTGAGAGCTCAGGAACAAAGGGGCTGAGGCCACTTCATCTTGCCCGCCCCTTTGTGTCTCAGAGCTTGCATCTGCTTCCGAGGGAGGCTGGGCTCAGCCTGCACTGTCTCCCTGTGCCCCATCCAGGACCCTCAAACCCGATCTACAGAGGGAGCTGCTGGTGCAGGAACTGCTGGCCCGAATGGCCGAGTGGGCCGAGTTGTGCAGCCTCAGGTGGGCGTCAGCTCTGCGAGGGCACACAATGCCCGGGCTTCGGCCTGACTCAGGCCAACTGTGGGCTGGGGAAAGACCACCCTCCGGGCGCATCAGCTTGCCAGGTGTTCTCTCAAGGCGTACAGCACTGTGGGAAGGCTTGGCTCTAATGGCCTGTCCAGCTTCCTCATCCTCTCAGAGGAAAAGAAAGTGGACGTGAGCTTCAGGCTGGCCTTGAGCTAGCTTATTTTGTAGCCCAGGCTGGTCTCAGACTCCCAAGGATCCTCCTGCCTCAGCTTCCCAGGGACCACAGGTGTGTGCCACCAGGATGGTGCAGGCCTTGGATGAGAGAAGCAGAGTGAGGCTGTTGGCTGCTGCCCTTAGTGTTGGGATCCTTGGCTTCCTGTCACCTGTCTTGCCCGCCCATCCTGGTCATGGCTTCCCTGGGGATCCCTGCATTTGGGGGCACATAGTCCTGCTCTACGGCCTACACTCAGTTCCATGGTCAACAGCTAGGAACCACAGGACACCCCTCCAACATGCAGAAGCTGACACACAGCAGCCAGGTCACAGCTGGGCTTTTTTTTTTTGGTGGCACTGGCAACAGAATGGCAAGACTTCACTCTGAGCTACACGCCCAGCTTTATTTATTTATTTATTTATTTTGTATTTTTAGGGAAAGGTCTACAGGGTGTTCAGGGTCTCACTAGATCAGACTCATAGTGATCCTCCTGTTTTCAGCCTCCCCAGCACTGGGATTACAGGTGTGCGCCATCATGCCCGGACTCATTTGCTGGCTTAGCATGCCCCAGGACCAGGGATCTAACCCTGGTCCCTTTCATGCCAAAGCAGGCGCTTATTCCACTGAGCTATCTCACCAGCCCTCTTTTTTTTTGGCGGAACTGGGGATTGAACTCAGGCCCTTGTGCTTGCCAGGGAAGCGCTTATTCTACTGAGCCATCTCCCCGGCCCCTGGCCCTCTATTTTTTAAGGCAGAATTTCACTAAGTTTTCCTGGTCAGGCTAAACCTTGTGATCCTCCTGCCTCATCCTTCTATCGTGCTGGGGGGTGATGGAGGGAGCCAGCTAGAGGGTGACAGTGATGGGGGCCTGGGCCAGCTCCCTGGAAAGACAGTTGGAGACACCAGTGGGAAGGGGGTGCTGTCTCTGCCCCAGCTCCACTCCCCAGGGATGACACCCCACCCACCCTGTGCCTGGCCCAGGTCTCAGTGAGGACGCCACCCAGCTCCAGCTGGACTCTGGCCTCCGAGCGAGCGCTAGCTCCACTTCCACTGCCCTCCGGAGTCTGCAAGAGAAGCCAGGCCAATAAAGGATCTGCTGAAATAAATCACTGTGTCTACCCTGAGCTGATCCAGATCTCTGAGAAGTGTGCTCCAGGCCTCTGTGTGTGTGTGTGTGTGTGTGTGTGTGTGTGTGTGTGTGGCCCTCCCAAGGAAAAGGGACACATCTGAGCTGGGCATGCTATGACCCCAGCACTCAGGGCAGCTGAGGCAGGAAGATCTACAGAGAGTTGAAGGAAAAGGGGTGGGCTGCTCCGGATTCCAGATGATGAAGTCTTAGACCAGGGTGCAGTATCAGGTGCCGTAAGTGGGCAGCCACTAGAACCCTCCCCATGTCGCAGGCTGTCCCTGACAGGGTCCAGGGCCCACACTTGGGAGAGGCCCCGTCCCCACACTCAGCCTGTTGTGCTCA